ACAAATGTACAAATGAACTTGACACAACGGATGCTATGAATGGATTGTGATGAGCTGTATGAGCCTCCAGTAAGATGACTTAAAAGACAAACACCAAAACTTGCTATGTATTCCTGAGGTGTGGCCTGAGGCACCCTTCACCTGGCTGTGCTAAAGGAGTGTGCACTGTTGGCTTTCAGTTCACGTGACTGCTTGCCCTGTCTTCAGGATGTTTCCCCAGGTGACGGCCAGTCTTCTTTGCCTGTTGAAATCTTACTCATTCTTCAAGACACAATTCAGAAATGACCATCTCTGGTCTCCACCTGCTTCCGCAGCAGTGCTTCCACATTGGTAACATCCTAACCTGAACTACCACCCCAAATCCTTAAGGAGTAGCTTAGTGCCTGGTACTTGAGACCAACATTTTTCTAATTGGCTTAAAAAGACAGAACCCCATAACAGAAGATTCTAGATGAAGCAGCAGTAACCTACAAATCCTTTACCATTCTGCAGGTGGTTAGGTGGTCATTTGTCATTATCCCTTGTCCCAAGCACTTGCTTTGTTTGGTGGCTATAAAACCACCAAGAGTCTCAGTCCCACTGAGCCCAAGGCTAGACTCCTGTTAACACACTGCCAACCAGCTTGGAAATTATTAAGAAAATATTTACTGAGCAGCTGTTGGAGAATTTCTAAAAATATCCCCCTCCCTCCTTCTTCCAGTCCTAAGTATTGAATGCAGCCCTTTATCACAAGGCTCTCTAGCAGTCCATTGGCACAGAAAACCAACGGCTGGCTGGCACTCCCGAGAAACTTTCCAACAGTTTGTCAAATAATTTTACTTCTGAGTCATCAGTAACAGTGCGTACTAAATATGGTAATGTTGGGGAAAGCTACATTTTTCTCTAAGATGGTCTATTCCATAAATGATGTCATGAAACTCAATAGATCTGCAACACTGGAGAGTGGGGGAAAGAGAAATTCTTTCAGTTAGAACTATATAAAGCTAAGTGTATGGAAATGCTTGGAATGTGTCAATGAAATGTATACAACCAGAAGCATAGAGTAACTTAAAAGTTTTTAGTCTGACTTCACTTCTGCAAGAATCTAAGGAACAGGACATAGTTGAACTGCAACTTCGGGTTTCCCAGGATGCAAACCTTCCTACCCTTTGGGTTGACAGCCCATGAACCCACGGCGTGACCAGTACTCACCCTTCACTCCAGCAATGTGTAAATCTTAATGCATCTCATTTTTCATCATCAGGTGTGGTCAGCATGTTTTAAATCCACGAAACATAGCACTTCATTTTAGTCAGTATTTTTAAACTGATCTTAAATTTTCAGTTTTACCGAGGTGAGCAGCAAAAGCACTGGAATGTTTTGTGTCCATTACAAGTCCATTGAAGAGCAAAATCCTCACAACTGCACTAGTAGGGAACGTCATGACTGAAGCTGTCAAGAACTTCATCTTGCTTGGACCCACAATCAATGCTCACGGAAGCAGCAGTTGAGATCACACGGTACATTTCACTGGGTAAACGTGCTGCACACAACCCCTTTAAAGTGTTGCAAAGTAAGGCTGTCACTCTGAGCGCTGAGCTACACCTGACTCGAGCTATGTTATCTTTTGTTGCCACATGCCATGTGAAAAATAGACATTGTCTTGGAAGAAGTATGTCCAGAGTGCCCGAGAGGCAAAGATGGTGAGTTTGTCTCCCATACTTTGGACACGTTGCCAGGAAGATGCCAATCCCTGGAGGGCATCATGGCTAGTAAGGCTGGGCAGCAGAAAAGAGGTAAACTCGAGAAGACGATTCAGTTTGGACAGCACAGGCCCTGGCAGGGTTTCCTTCTGGCAGACCATCAAATCAAGCATGAGGAGTTGGTGGCAACTAGGTAACAGGGTGGCTTTGAAATGCCGCTGAGAGATATGCTCTGGCTTGATGGCAAGTGCCATTAGAACCATTCTGCAAACGTGAACAGCACCACAGGCCTGCTTCTACTAGTGTCTCACCATCAAGAGCACCTCGTTACAGCTTCTAGGGCTTTCTATCCATTGACTTATCACCGAGAGACAGCAAACAAGGCACCGAATGAGCAAATGACATAGCAAGGGCCTGGCAGCTCGTCTTCAACTCCATGTCGTGTGGGCTGGACTTCATTAGTGGACAACAGCTGCGTTTAAGTACTTCCTGGCAGTTTGTGTGCCTTCACCTTAGCATCTAGACGTTTACACTAGCCAGGGGCCTTCACCTTAGCCTCTAGACGTTTACACTAGCCAGGGGCTCTACGTAACTTTCTAATTCCACAATCTTTAAGCAAATCCCACTTACAGCTGATTTAATTTGGTATCAGACTATGTAACATAGCCCCGGTGTTTAGTACTGCCTGAGAAATCCCAGGTGTTTGCTTGGCTTTGAGTAACTCTACACGCCTGTTACAGTTCTTATCTAATGGCAAAGCACCTGGTTTCTTACATACACATGCCATCAGGGCCTCTTACTGGAGGGCTAGGATGTGTGTTACTTTGATGTAAATGCCAATGCTGGCCAAGAGGAACCCTCCAAATGCTGTTGCTTGTGCTGGAAAACCATCTGGCAAAATTAGGTGCTTCCAGGTCCTTTTGGATGCCTGTCCCAGCCCTGTAGCCAGGCATTCTCCATGAAAACCTAGATCTGGGGCCAGGTGTGTAGGACACTCTCTTTTCAAAATCCGTGAGGAACAGATTTCCTCCACAAACTTAGAAGTACTCTCACATGCATAAGCCAGTCAGAGATGAAGTAACGCTGAGAAAGTGGTCCAAACTAAATAATTAAAAGCAGTTGGTTCTCATTATCAATACTATATATAAAGTAACCAACCCGTCCTACTTATAGGACCAGTAGCCACCACTCTCTTCCCGAGTGGCTGGTGGGTTTGAACCACCCATTTTTGGGCTAGTAATCCAGTGCTTCCTGCACAGTACAAGCCATGACTCCCAACAGTCACCACACGCACTGCCAACAATTCCTGGTCACAAAGACCCTATGGGGAGTAGCAATACTAAACCTTTGTGATGTAAACTTTTATGAGATGAGCAGTTGTTTGCACCACTAGGGAATATTCCAGCCACTGCTGCTCGGGGAAATGTGGGTTCTAGTGTCATTTGACCAAGACATAAGCTGGCTGTGTTCCTGTACTAAAGGCATCTTAAAATAGTTGTTTCTGTAACCCTGAATCCCAAACCAGTACCAACACAAACCCTGGCGGCAAGAAGCATTGCTCACCCGGCACTTTGGACCACCAAGAAAGCACATCAGCGGTGCCTGGCGCCACGCTCAACCAGCATGAAGTGACACAAGGCCACTAAAGCACGAGGTCATAACGGCCTCACATCCCTGGGAGTTCAAATTCGCCCCTTCCAGGGGCTGCAGAGAATGGCAGCGTGGTGAGGGCGCCATCTTTACCCAGAGGGGATGTGCGCCGCCAAGAGCACGTGAGCCACCGCTGATGTGGGTGAGGGGGCTTGTGAGGGACCTTTGTACTAGTCCTGCTCGTATTTAATTTTGAATGTGAAAATAACGTCACAGAAACATGGCTAAAAGCACTTTAGAAACAGCACTGTATAAGGCACAAGCTATTTCTTTCTTTGATAGGACTTAGAAATTCAAATTTTTAATTCTCACCAATCTTGCAAAATCCAACCAAATTGTTATTTAGCAGCCAAATACCAAAAAAAAAAGTCAATACAACGTCATTTTACTAGTCATTTTTGAAAGTGATCAAAGCAGTTCCATAAAGTTGTCCAAGTTTACCTCGGTGCAGAATGCCAGTCACCTTTGAGAAACCCACACCAGATCCTCTAAAACACATCAATCACATCACGTGCGGCACTCTGCCTTCTGCCAGCCGACTACCCCACGCACTCTTACGACTCTCTGTCTGCGTCCAAAATGCATCCTAAATCTAGATCTCCAGCCACAGTCCCAAGTGCCCACTGGCTGGCCCCACCTCACAACTGCCATCTCACCCACTAGGCTGTGAGCCATTTAGAACTCGTGTCACAATAATGCTAAAAACAGAAAATCCAGAAGTTAAATGTTAGAGGCTAACAATTAGTGTGCTTGGTCTCAGAGGACTTGGACCTTATGGCTTCATCATGACTGGACTCTTCCACTCACAGGACAATCTCTAACCACTGGCTTTGAATAGTCTCAGCTTGTACGGACTTCTGAATTTTGATCCAATAGGTCCATGGTAGGAAATATTTTCCCCCACTCTTCAGGGGCCTGATTCAATTAAAGACCACTATTTGGCCTCACCAGACTAAAATGACCACTGGCAGGCCGCTTCAAGGCCATCAACATACAAGGAGCTCCATTTCCCCATGGACACTCAGAAGCCCCACAGCACATAATGTATTTGACTAACAACTCAAAAACTTGGCTTAGCCAGCAAGGTGTCCTGACAGCCACCGTCTATTTTAATTTTTGTCTATTTTTGAATTGTGCCCTCAAAACCGGTCATTTCAGTAACAAATCACTGTATGTTGACAATGCACCGCCCTATATATTAAAAAACTCCTTCTAGCTTGTTAAACGTAAAGAAAAAATTGTAAAATTTTATGGGGGTGGTGTGATGGGGAGGATGGGCCCAACTGCCTGGGGCCCTGTATAAACTCTGTACAGGTGCACATGGTTTTCACCATCAAAGCTGCTCCAACAGTGATGGAGAAGGGGCCGTAAGAACTCACCTGCACTGACTGCTGCTGGATTTCCACAGGGCATTCCTGTGAAGTCTGAACTACCTGGCCTTGCTAGTTAGCAAAGGTGGGGAAGACCAGCTCAGTAGCTTTGGCTCTAAAACCCTTTAGCTATTTTTATTAAAACAAATGACAGCCTGTAATTATTCTGGTAGGCCATACCTGGAACATTCGGTCTCTTCATCTACCCCATGGAGAAGTCCACAAAGCACACCTCCCAACATCCACCGGTAGGCCAGAATAGCATAGGCACACCCACAGGGAGGAGATAACCAGCCTCTCCCTTAATAGATATTCTTTTATTTTCTTATACCTTCCCAAACACAGACATTCAACAGTAGTTAGAATGGCCATCTCCCAACATTTAAAAAACCCCACACCCTCCACGGGTGAACAAAGTAAAGAGCAGAAACCTAGAGTTCAGCTGATAAGCTGCTGTGGAGCCTTAAGTCACGAGGTCTTCCAATTTCATAGTGATGTCTTCAACTTGTCTCATCATTTTAGTGGAAAAACAATGTTTAAATTTGGTGAAATGAGATCATCTCCAGGCAGGATTAAGAACAGCACTCACTGGATTTCACATTCTTCTTTTGCGGACTGTGAGGAAAATGAATGGCAGCTACAAGTTCAGCGGGGTCCAGCTCCAGCTGCAGATGGAACGACAGTACACCAGGACACAAACACCTCTACTGGGATTTACAAAGTTAACAGCAGTTTTACATCTGCAACTTAATTACAAAGCAACTACACCACAACCTTTTCAAATGGCAAAATACAAAAAAGTGTTACAAAAATATTTCAGAAAAGTGCATAGTCTAAGTGCATAGTAAATAAAAGCACTGAAAAATATCTTGCTAGAGGGAGTTCAGCCTGGAAAAGCTATTTCCAAAGCTAAACGTTTTAGTTTACACAAACTATACTCAAAAATAGCTTTATGAGACTGACTTCGGGCTAAAAGTATCAAAGGGTTTATTAGTCAAGAAACAAATAATTGACAAAGGTGAATAGAAAAGAAACAAAGAAGCTGCCTACCCCAAAAAGTTCATACTCATTTTCAGAGATTTCTGTAGTACTACTGTACTAAGACATCCCTTAATTGCAAAGATGGTAATCATGGAATTATTGCTAAAGTATCTTTTAAATGAAATAAAAACAAAAACCACAAAATAAGCCTGACACAATCTGACCAAACAGTTATCATTTACAGTTTCAAGGTTATTGTACAAAATACCCACATTTACACAACAGGCTCCCAGCTGTTTCCACACAAACGCTTTTAATTCATTCAGACATGCTACAAATGAATAAATTACACCACTCAATAAAGAATTATCATCAACCTTTATGATTTTTTTTCCTCTTGGGCCAGAAAATGAGCTCACAAGTAAGACTGAGAGGAAACCCCAAGAGAGAACTCACAAAAGTGGGTGGGGCCAGGCAAGGTCAGTGACAAGGTGACCCTCACAGCAGGGTTGCTCTCCCAGAGCTGACTCTGGTTAGAGCTATTTCTCTAGATTCTAAAGCAAGTCCTTGTGTAGTTAAACCCTTTAATGCTTTTATTCCTAGAAGATCAGCCCAGTTAAGTCAGAGGCAGCAGGAGTGACAAGACTTGAGTCCTGGCGGTGGCAGAACTGGGCATTGTGGCTCCACATCACAGGGGGGAAAAAGACTGCCCTTCCCCTTCAGACCAACAACACAAAACAAACCCAAAACCTACAGAATTTATTTGGGGGTGGGAGAGGAATAGGGGATAGATGCGAACACTGGATCTAAAATGATTTGCAAAGGAACATATTTAACAAATGGCTTGAAGGAGTCTATTAAAAATTGGGGCGATATCTTGATTTCAGTGAGTTAGCAAGGTTTTTTGTTGTTGCTGCTGTTTTTAAAAAACTTACAGAAACAGTTTTTAGTTTTTAATGAACTTGTAAACAAAAAAAGCTCCCATTTCAAAATAAAAACGAAATCCCAGATCATATAGATGTTTACAGTGATTACATTTATCTAAGCAACGTACATACATGTTCAATTGTAAGATGGTAACTAATTTTCTGTGACAAATGTTTTTTTCTTTAATACCAAGAACATTATAGGGCTAATGCAGAGTCCTACAGGTAATCTAGTGGTCACTAAGTTTGTCTGTCTTCACTGTAGATGCTGTCCTTCTAGCACAGGTAAGCAGGCAGTCTCTCATGTGCTCAAACACTGGAATCTTTGGTTGCTACCATATCAGCTGGCTTGCAGACAAGAAGCCGACCATTTTGAGAATGTTTTAAGTGAACAACTTGCAAACCCCAGGGATGGAAAAAACCCCAAGAACGCACAATAGTGAGCATTACAACCATCACCAACTGTGGCTGAAGACTGTTCATGCCGTTCTTCTGAAATGACACCTCCAAGCAGTGTAGTTCAAAAATAAAAGGTTTTAAGAAAAGAAAAAAATTGGCATATGCACAATTTCTCCACCAATTTGTGTGTCAACCATTTAGTTAACTTTTCCACTTGAAAAAATGCAATAGAAAACTGGACACCATGTTTCACTATCTCAGTTAATAGTCACAATTACAGCGGCTACAACTCAGGACGCGGCATCACCAGTGTTGCCCAGAGCCAGCTCATACTGAAATTACGTTCTTTACACCAAGTAAATGGTTGTCATAACCACTGGCTAGTGTACAGGTGAACTAAAATTTCTAGGTTTGGGGAGAAACAAATGCTGCTCCGATCATCTGCTCTGCTCGTTTCTTCTGTTCAATTCATGCTTAGAAACCTGACAAAAACAAACAGAAAATTAGGTGTTAAAGGGTTAAAATCTATGCCCACAGTAAAAACTTTAGATTGACGAGGGCCACTAATTACTTTATAATGGTGACTATTTGAATAGCACTCACAATTTTTTGAAAAACACACATAAACCTACAACGAAAACAGCTTTGTTTCCCATGACGAAGCAAGACTGGTTGCCCAGTTTAAAGGCTCCCAGATAGCATTCGACACCCAAACTACAGAACTACCGATCCTTCAGTTAGTTACCACACTCAGTGCCGTTATTTCTAGTCCCGCAAATGTACTGTGTTCAAACATTTGTCAAATACACGAAAATTAATCCACTTCAACAAGAGTATCGTTTTATGGTCTGGAAGACTGATGTGTATTATACCTGAGAGAAATAAGGAACGCTACATGTAATACACTCTAATTAGGCCCTAGCACTCCTACATATAGGAAGGTTTGAAGAGGTCTTTAGATCTAACAGCAGCTTCTTTTATCTCTAGAGCAGTGGATCCCCACTGTCCTAAAGCTGCGACCCTTTAATACAGTTCCTCGTGGTGGCGACCCAACCATAACATTATTTCCGCTGCTACTTCATAACTGCAATTTTGCTACTGTTATGAATCATCATGTAAACATCTGATGTGCAAGATGCATTTTCATCCTTACAAATTGAACATAATTAGAGGGGGAGCAGGGAGGGAGGGGAAAATGAGGGCCTGATGCCAGGGGCTTAAGTGGAGAGCAAATGTTTTGAGAATGATGAGGGCAATTGATGTATGTATGGACTGTTAAAAATTGAGCCCCTAATAAAACAAAAAAAATTAAAAAAAAAAAGATGTCATATCAAGCCGTAAAAACAAGAACCAAATTGAACATAATTATACTGATAAATCACAAAAACATTATGAAATCATACATTGTGATCTATTTATTTTTAATTACAAATAAATGAAATTTTGTCTTGAAGCATGGTGTAGCATGGGTAACAATCTTGTTCAATATAACAACAGTAAGCTACATCGCTACATTTTGCCACAGTGCAAAGTCCGTGCAAAGGTTGAGATAGCTTCTTTCTCACAGGATCAGAAATTCCTGGGGCAGTCTTTGCTAGAGCACAACAAAGATCATCTTCCACATCAAGTCTACTTCTGCATTTAGACTTGATCACCAACACGCTGGAAAACCCTGTTTCACAAAGATATGTTGTTGGAAATGGAAGAAGGCGCAACACAGTCTCAGAAGAGGATATAACTGCCAACACTTGATACAGAAATTTGTAACAGGGCACTGTAGAGAAATCAGTTCTCCCTGCATCGCTGTTAATAAATTCAATGAACTCCTCTTGTGCTGGCTCAGGTACATCTTCAACTTTGACGGTGAACGGGCTTCTGGAAGTGCAAAGGGGTGTCAGGTAGATTTGGGAAGTACAATGAAATTTCTACAAGTATGTGCAAGTGTTCTTTCAAAGAAATTATCATCATAATCCTTTTGTCTGGTTCAATCTGATGCTCCTCAAAGCAAGCAGATAAAGTAGACATGCAAATTTTACTTTCCTCCAATTTTTTTTTTTTTGCCAAAGCTGAAGTTTCATTTGGAATGATCGGATCTTTTCAGACAAATCGAGGAATGTTGCATTTGGTCCTTGCAGCGATAAATTTAACTCATTCAAGATGGCAACCAGGTAAGCTATTTTTCTGCAGTTCACTTTTATGGCTGAAAGTGCTTTGAACTATGGTCTTGCTGATTAAAAAACGCTTTTTGAGTTCATCACGAAGCTCCAAAACAAGTTTTAAACTTTTCCTCCAGACAACCACCTCACTTCCGTGGGAGATAGCAGAGCATTATTTCGTGCATCCAACTCGTTGCAATTGCGAAAACAGCAGTTTAAAGTGCTCGGCTTTACAAAATTGACACAACTTATGACGCTTTTCATTACTTCTTGTAACTCTTGTGGTAGCGTCTTCGTTGCTAATATTTGCGGCTGAATCATAAGAGTTCCAGTGACTTTTGGTGACTCATTCAGTACCAAATATTGAAATCCAGATCGACATCCTAGCATGGCTGGAGCACTATCTGTATCAAATAAATCGCATGCAGTAGTTGACGTTTCAAGAGGTTTGCACAAACACAAAACAAAAAAAACCCACCCCTCATCTTTAAAGTCCCCATCATTAATATACCTCATGTAAACCAGTAACCGTGAACAGTTTGCAATGTCTGTACATTCATCAAGCGGGGTGCTAAATATTGTTAGCGGAGCAGATTTAATTTCCTGGATTAACTGATCAAGAATATCAGCAGACATGTCATCTATTCTTCGGAAGACAGTGTGGTTAGATGAGGAAATTGCACTTAATTTCGTAACAAACTCGCCTTTGATCATAACTCGAACAATGTCTTTGGTGGCCGGCAGCAGTAAATCCTCAGCAATGGTGTGAGGTTTCATAGCTCTGGAGATTCTGAGTGCCACCAAACATGAACTTCAATGGCTGCTACGTTTTGTTTGTGGTGCTTGCCCCCAGTTCTAGTCTGGCTTTCTTGAGTCCATCAGCTTTGCTGCTAAAACAGTTGGCATCCTTTCTGGCAAAGCTCTGATGCTTGCTATCAAAACGGCGTTTTAGTTTGTTCGGCTTCATAGATTCAGCTGATAGAACTTCACAACAAATAACACATTGCGGTGTCTCAATTCCTGCAGTAATTATTGAGGTAAACCATACTGTAAAAACTCCTCACTATATTTTTGTTTCTTAACATTCTTCTCTACACGATCCATTGTCATGGAATCGCTTGCTAATGAAAAATAATATACAACAGCTTTAATAATACAAAAGATGATACATGGCATAATTCAGTCAATACAGTTCATTAAAGCAGCAGTTTTCGGAAGGGAGGGGGGAAAATTAGGAGTTGATATTAAGGGCTCAAGCAGAAAGCCAATGTTTTGAGAATGATGGCAACAAATGTACATGACACAAGAGATGTATGTATGGATAGTGATAAGAATTGTACAAGCCGCCAATAAAAATCATTAAAAAAAAAACACCAGTAATTCTCAACCTGTGGGTCGCGACCCCTTTGGGGGGTGGGGGTGGTAGAATAACCCTTTCACCGGGGTCGCCAAAGACCATAGGAAAACACTTTATTTCCGATGGTCTTAGGAACAGAAACACCGCTCCTCTATCGTTTCCAAATGGGTCTGCCCACATGCAGACACGCCCACATACACTGTTACCCATGCTACACGACATTTATTTGTAATTAGAAATATTTCACAACATATAATTACATATTGCTTTTGTGCTTAAACACAATCCTTTAATTATATTCAAGTTGTAACATGAAAATATATCCTGCATATCCAGATATTTACATCATAGTAGTAGCAAAATTAGTTATGAAGTAGCAACGAACATCAACCGCAGCTGAATATAAAAAGACTGATCAGCATCCAGTTTAAGTATTTATGGTGCAGATTTTTTTTGCAGCAGTTGATGGTTTTGCATTTATCTAGTAGATATAATTTATGAAGTGTTGTTTTACCTCCAATACTGCTGCTTTCAACACAGTAGCTGCTTTCAACATGTGTGACTGGTCTGCATAAGTACATTATCTATCCAACCTTGTCACATACACCTGTATTTGTATGGAGTGCATGTGATGGGGTTGGCGCAATGATGTCATCACGCCAGGTACTCATATGTGGGCGTATCTGCATGTGGGTGGACCGCTTGGAGATGGATGGAGGAACGGTGTTTCGGTTCCTAAGACCATTGGAAATGTTTTCTGATGGTCTTAGGCGACCCCTGTGAAAGGGTTGTAACCCACAGGTTGAGAACTGCTGCTGCTGGAAAGGCAAAGAAAGGAAAGGCCTGTATCTCAGTAACATGAAAATCCCCAAACATCTCTTACCCACTCATAGCTACGACTCCTTAGTGGCATCAGCCTGTCCATCTATTCCAAACCCTTCTACCCCACTTAACCACTAGCTCACCCCAGACCAATAGGTCCCATGCTGTATTAACCTTATCGTTCCGATTCATTCACACCTCAAACATGGTTTTTTAGCTCAGATGACTTTTGTGGGATGATTAGAATAAGCTCTTTACACACATGTATACTTTTGTTTTCAATAATCATGCCAAAGATTTGTGTGTCCTTTTTGGGTAAATATTCTCTCACTCACCAGCTGGTCTTTTCATGTGAGGGCAAAACCAGCCACCCTGATTTATGAGACACGGCCACATGTAGGCTCTGCAGACACAGATATGGGTGTGCTCATCCTTTTCTCCCCTAATTCCCTAACTATAGAGCAGATGCAGAACAGTTCCCTTTAGGCTTAGCCAGGTGAAGGCTAAGATCCTGAGAAACAAAGGCCAAAGATAGAAGAAACAGAAGCATCCTCAGAATACACTAGAGGGAATAAGTGATGCACATCTATAAATAAGAATGGAAAGTTAATGGGTGCACCAAGAAAATGCTGCCCAGTCAAGCCTCAATTCAACTGTGACCACATGCCAACTTTTAAATACGGAATAAAGCACCACAGTAACTGACCAGCATAACCACCACTGTCTGTCAATGCATTAGGAATGTGCCTTCAATAGGGAGGTCAAGGCAAGCAAATTCATGGGACTCCTTTTAAAAACTGATGTTGGGGGAACTACTGGCTCAGACAAGAACTATCAACGTGCTGAGGTTGGTTCTCTTCGTAGAGCAGAACATCCGATGCAGATTTAACTATTCCTTGGGCCCACGGTGTGGTGGGATACTCCACTGAAAAATCAATGCTTCTCCAGTGGACTGTCCTGCAATGTTATTGGACATCTTTAGGAAGACCCTCAGTGTGAGCAGTAGCAGGCTCTGGCATTCAGGCTTCCAAGTACTAAGCACTCTTTCCCTACGAAGCATGTGCCTGGGGATTTTTTTCTTGCAGCTTGGCTAGCATGGTCTCCTGGCTTCCAAAAGTTCAACATCCACTTTCACTGCTAACATCAGCCAAATAAGAGATAAATCCTTTTCTTCCTGGTAAAAAAAAAAAGGGAGGGGGGGAGAAAGGAAGAAAAACAGACACTTAAAAAATGTATGCAATGTGTTTATGACTACATTGTTTCTTTTCAAATCCAAAAATTTGGCGAAAAAGTTTTAATGACCAGAAATATCACTTAATCAGAAAAATATGTATCTACCTAATCTTATTTGTAACTTCAAATGGATCACAAACTAGTTCTAAAAGGGTATTTAAGTTGTTGAAATTTACCACTGCCTAGCAAGTGTGCGCAGTGGTAAATGCTCAGCGGCTGAGCTGAAAGGTCAGCAGTTGGGAGCCGCGGGTGCTCTGCCACAGAAAGACCAGGCAGCTTTGCTTCTGTAGATTTACAGCCTTGAAACCCCGTGGGGCAGCACTGTTCTCTCCTGCAGGGTCACTAGGAGTCAGAAGCAATTCCACAGTATCAGGTCCATAGTGTAATGTTCACATACATAATTGTGAACCAAATACAAACAAATACCCTATGCAATGGCAGTTAAAGTATACTGAACCGATTGCCCTGCAGCATACTTGTGTGAGATTTGTAGCCCCAAAGAATCAAGCGTGAAGAATTTTAAATGAGATTGGCAGAATACTTAAAGGAAAAACAAACTACAACAACTCTCCTCTGTCTTTTACACGGAACAAAAAAGGCACTGTGGATTCTGGAAGAGATTTTGGAAAGACTTTCTCTTTCAGATTGATCTAATTTTGTCTTCCCTATTACAAAGTTCGTTCAATGACAAGATTTCAGAGGTGGCTGGGTTTCCAAATACCTGTTACAAATGATTCCTTGTCCAGCTGGTAGATGGTTTGTCCGGCAACACTGCACACACTTCAAGAGCGTAGGTTGTTGTGGTGCCACCAGCGGGTCTTGACAAGTTGAAATCGTTGATGGGACAAGCAAGCCTTGGAGAGCCGAGCTTCGTCCAGATCAGAACCAACTCGCATTTGCATGTTCATTTCCTGCTTGGTCCTTAGTTCGTTTCTGCCCGGGGTTTTTGTTCCAAGGGGGTAGAGGTGACAGAAACTGGAAATTGCAGCAAGCTGATACAGCTCCTGGTACTTCTTTGGATCAAGGGTATTCACAGTAGATCAGTCTCTCCATGCATTTCTCTGACAAGGTCTTCCCCTGTGATTTGAGCTGTGTTTGTTTAAAGACCAGCCCCATTCCTAGCAGCAATTAGTAAGTCAGAAAAAGTTATGCTAGACATAAATGGCAAGTGAAGTCCAGTAACTGCTGAAAGGTAATTAAGTAAGACCATGGACAAAGCAGCTCAGTGTAATGGAAAATTATTCCTAATTTCATCGGAAGGATAATCTGACATCTACCCACTTAGTATACATGGGTGGGGCAGTATACAGGGTGGATTCGAATGGCATGTGCAGAGTATAATAGAATTAAATGAGGACCAGCCACCTTTGGCTTCACTACCTTCAGACACTTCTCCCTCCTCTCTTTCCTCAAATTACAAGACGAAACAAAAACAAAAGCTAAACTGGATGCTGAATGTTCTAAAAACGTTTTCTTTTCTAGGCCTTGAAATAGGCTTTGGATATTCTTGGTTAATTACTAAGTTATTTTTCCACAGAATAAGATTAGGTGTTGATTCACGACAAAAACAAACCAACATATAAATACATTTGGGAGAGCTCTTGCCCCGCCCCTTTCTCTGCTCTCCCTTCCCTCCCGGTAGCTCCTTCCCTGCCAATAAAATCTTTCTTAACTTCATAAAAAAACAAACAAAAACATTCTGAGGGTTTTTCCAGGAACTGTGTTGCAACAAAGATTTGCTAAATGTTTATAAAACGTCTCTGATGTGCAAATTCCTGAAAGCATGACTTGAACAAAATGCGATCATGTATTAAAACACTTTTCAAAAAACTTGACTACAAAAAATATAATGTGTTGTTCTCACCATCACTGAAAGGAATTTCTTAAGAACAATAAATGACTGAGCTGTATGAGCTTGTCCTTAAAATAATTGAAATAATGCAGTGGACCCTAAAAGGCCATGTTTTTTCAATACCCTTACATACTGAAGATCCCGGGATCGGGAGTAAACACAGATCAACAGGGGAGGGTCCCAGCTCCGGTTTTGTATTAACTTCATGCTACTCTCAGATCTGCTATACTTTTCTGGCATTATCTATTTATCCAGGGGTTTCCAAATAAAATTTGTTTGAGTACTAGGTGTTGCATTCAAAATAACATGGATATTTCTAAGAAGACAAGAAGCAATACAAAGTAAGGATTAAACTTTAATTGTAAGTTTTCAAGGAAGCAAACTAACTCAGTGGATCCAATATCTCCTCTTTAAGACCAGGACAAGGCAGGATAAAAGTTCTACTTGTTTGCTGAGTTAGCGACACAAAGGAAACTAACACTGGGACTAATTCAAATCAGGGCAATTCTTTCCAATGGCTGCTGAATGCCTGAATAGTAATGTTCTAGGTCAGATGAGATTTCAATCTAATTTCAGTTCTAGAAACCGCAACTCATGATGATCCTATTATCCCAGATAGCTTTAAGGAAAAACCTTAGTTTTATAGACCCGACAAAAACCCTACAAGTGTTCAGACTTCAAATTGGTCTTACTTAAATGGTAGGAATATTTTTAAATGTCATTGGCCACCTTGTTCACTAATAACTTCTGGGTACTCTGATTATACGGTGATTACAAGACTCAAAGGGCCTCAACTGAGGTACAGAGAGCACTGGGAAATCAACAGTGTTTGCTGTTCTGGACTTATGTTTCATTATCTAAGAATCTCAACTATGCCAAACCTTAAACTCTGAATCCTCACCCAAGTGTAGAAACATGAAGGGGCAACATTTTAACTTCAAGACTAATTAATAGAGGAGCTGCTGGGATGAGGTTACCATCACTTAATTATATTTAGTGAAAAGTATCTTCAGGTTAGAATGCATTTGGTATTGTTTACAGTAAAATATGGATCTAAAGTTGACTCATGATGGCCAAGTTCAGACTAGAGCAGTCATTCAGAAATTAAATAATCTGAAGCCCCAAACCAAACCTTATCTGCCCACTTCTTCCAGGAAGTATGCATGTAACAGGAGGTAAGCCCAAGAGTGGAAAAGAAAGGAAAACGCCAGCAAACAAACCCTGAGAACCAAGGAGTGGAGCCGTCTGGCCGCAGGGGAGAACTGGAGCTGTGCCCTAACAGTTGTACTTCCTAGGAGCATGAAGACCACCAGAGACTGGCATAAAGGAAACACGACCGACAGCTCAATGGCATTACCCCAGCTATCTTCACAATGCAAGGGCTAACAGAGACTGAATCCCTTGAACTTGAATATTGCAAAAACGTAAGAGCCAAAAGGAAATCACTTTAAAATTAAGTACACAGTAGAAGAGCAACTGAAAATGAGATTTGTGACTATGAAAGATGTATTGAGCTTTTCGGTTACTTGAGCATTTGACATTGTAACTGAGATGTTCTTCCACTGAGAGGAAAGATACTTTCGGAGAATGAAATCATATTTACTATTTTCAATTTTAAAGGTTAAAACATTATTAACATGCAGAAAAAAAAGTCTTAACACTGTTAGTCTTAAAGCCAAAATACCATTGCTAATCAGATTCATTACTTAAATCAACAAGTGTTAGGTCTAGGATTTTGGATTGATTGATTATACCACATTCCCAACACCAAATGTTTGTTTTTGGAAAGGGTTAATGAATGAGGAAAAGAGATGCAGTTGTTAAAAATGACCCAAAATCCCAAGAGAAATGGTATATAATATACACACATATATGTATACATAAGTATATATACATATATATATGAACAAGGACATTTGGGTTTAAAGTTAGTAGTCAAATTTTCCAAGGACGTTTTTTTTTTTTAAACGCAGAGCCAATTTTTAAAATGTATTTTAAAACCACTTCCTTGATCTAACACTGTTAGAAAATGAATAAATTACCCAATTTTGTTTCAATTTTTTCCCTGTTAACGTCACTTGGTTCTTGGCTACTAACCTTTCATGTTACTCTTGGTTTTGTCAGTTTGCTTGCCTGTGGGGGTTTGGGCCTGCTGACCCTGCCCACTAGAAGAGGCTGCCTGCTGCGCTGCTTTCTGCTTTAACATTGTCCAGTCAAATGTGTAGTCATACTGGTGGTTCAGGGTCCTGAAAAACATAAAATGATGCTAATCTTCTATGACAGGGTCCAGATAAGTACCCTATTACACTTTCTAGACAACGAAAGGCATTTCATCAGAAAATATTTTCTCTTTTAGTGTGTCAGTTTCTAACATTTTCCTTCCTATCGATGAGTTGACTTTTTTGGGTACTCAGGTCTGCCACATCAGGTAAGAAAAAACTATCTTTCTTTTGCAAAAAGAAGCAGGTTGCGCGCGTGTGTGGCGGGGGGATGAAAAGGCAATATGAAAAGCTAAAATAGGAAAAGACGCCAATGATCTAACTGTGATCTTAATAAAGGGAAGGAATTCTTCAAATTCAATCAGCGTTATGTATGGGACTGGAAGTCTGTGAGAGATGCCCGCACACGAAAGAATGTTTTGCAGACTAAAAGAATCTCTAGTTCTTCTCCTCTTCCGACTAGAATTTGAGACAGCACTACCCCATCCACCCTATGTTTAAGACCAATTCTGGGGTGGGTGAACCAAGGGACCCATGGTTTGGACTCTACTACTTGAACCCAGGGTCTGTGGGATGGTTTAATTTGGTCTGAATAGCGTTTCGTACCCAAGTCCTAGGCATTAACATTTTTAATAGTATCAAATGTGAACTACAAAAAAATTAGGATTTAAATTTGATTCAACTGCTACTCCATCCCATACTAAAATTAACTCAAGTAAATGGAAATATGTCAAATGTGCTCAGGACTCATTTTCTTAAACTTCTACCTGTACTAGTTAGAAGTGCCCTTTAATTTGCTCCTCCTCAGAGTAGGTGTGTTAGACAAATTTCACTAATTGGTAGTCTGAAAATATATTGAAAACTAACCTGAAAAGAATGCGGAATAGCTGCCTCAGATACATATAATCCGGGGCTTCCTCAAAGCGCAGCCCACGACAATAGTTTAAGTACATGGCGAATTCTGCAGGAAACCCCTATTAGTTCAAATTTGGGAGGTAAAAAAAAGAAGTTAAAATAAAAACAACTATTTCAAGGTAAGAAACTGTATTTAAACAGAGTTAGAAATGTTGTACTTTGTGGGTGCAACACAATGCCCATATAGTGTTCACTCCATTAGAATACAGGCAATATCTTAACCTTTCATACTGGGAGAGGCAACTTGGCAATGTTTTCATATAATCCATATGTTAGGTTTTAAGTGCCTTATAGTTCAACACTGATAATGAATAAGCCCAACAGAAGGACCTTCTGAAGCTGATTATTTATTAAGCAACAAATACTAAAAGAGAAAAAACAGAACCACTAAAGAGCAAAATAATACAACGGAGTGTTACTACCAATTTGATTCTTAGTAGACTTCTAAACAGCAGCCTAAAATCTTAGCTAGTGAACACATCAAATTAACACATTCTTTATAAATGAGTACATTTTGGTGGGTTCCAACCTTATATAAATCAGTTGATGTAGACATCGGGGATACTGGGCTCTAGATACTTAGAGGCACGCTCTTTCTATAACCACCTGAACCCCTGGGCTTAAAGGTCTGAGAACTTTTCATATCCAGAAATCAAAGCAGGATAAAAATGAATGTATTTGCAAATATAATTTTTATTAACAAATTACAACTGGAAAGTATTTATATTAAGAGTCACAGATATGAGGAAGCATTGTTCAACCATGAGACTTATCCAGAAAGTCAAAGAAAGCTCCCAATTTTGAGATCCTAATTATTAGGAAGCCCTAAGTTGAGAATACACCAAATCCTCTTTTCTCCCTACAAAAGTGATTAGCTTTCTCATCATGTCAGATGACTGTTTCTCTTGCACGTACTTTATAGAAATTAAGCTGGATATTTATGGATGAAGATACACAGAGAGATCCATTTCTCCCTTCCAGGGCTCTGACTCAACGCAGGTTGATTTCTCTCCCCTTTTCTTTAACCATTAGTTATAAAAAACTGTTTTCTAATTATTTCGGGTGTGCACTTATTCTGAGAGCATGGTTATCCCCTAAGCCAGTTTTAACTCGTCTCCCTGTGAAGTGTTTGTAAGTATACTATAATCTGTCATTAGACAATAGCTATTTTACACTGACCCGGAGCTCCAAACCAGTTCTTCCAAATGCAGCCATGGCCAACAGTGAAACGGGAATGGGGAAATTACAGGCTGATGCCATTCTAGAAACTCAGCCTCCCTCCTAGAAAACAAGGGCAGGCAGCATGTGCACTGCTTAGCAACCAAATCTCTTGTAGCAAATGGCACGCAGCTCAAAAGATGTCAGTTGGCAGCAGTACTCTCCAGTCTTGGCAATGATCCAATCTCCCACATAATCAAAAATTAAACCCACTGTCGTCAAGTTGATTCTAACTCCTAGCTCCCATAAATGACGAGACTACAACTGGCCCCTGGGGTTTCTGAGATTATAAATCTTCAAAGGAGAAAACACACAAACACCTCTATCTTAACTTCCTCCTTTGGAGCAGCTGCTAGGTTTGAATCACTGACCAGTGGTCATCAGCCCAATAGATAGCCTAAAAAGGCTCCTGAAAAGCCTCCCTCTACCAAGTCCTTCCCCACTCCCAATGTGAAGATTTTGACCTGCAACTTTCCCCAATCTGATCATCGTTCCAGTAAACCCAGAGTTCACAAATTCTGGTCTTTTCTGATTTAACTGTGTCTACCATGACCGAACCAATTCACACCAGAATGAAGTCCTATATGATCTGCCAGTTTCTCTCGCCCTTGGTGCCAACTGTTGGTATATCTTTTTCTTTTCCTGACTTCAGTTTAAGAGAAATTTTTTAATCTCTCTGATAAATTGGCAAAGAAAATATATCTGCCCTGTTAATAGTCTCCAATTTTAAATAGATTAGAGAGCCCAAATAAACCAGTTACATATAACACAACATGTATTTTAAATGACTCAAATGCTTAAGCTATTGTTAATAAAGATAATCTGAATCACTAAAGTAAATCTAAAAAAAAATTGAAATAAATCTTTAAAAAGTTGTAGCTAATAGGAAAACGGCTTTTTCTTAAAGATTTCTTTGCTAACTAATAAGCATCAAGAATACTTACTTTACACAAAACTTCAACAGGAGTGGACATCTTCTTTTCACTAATCTTTTCATATTTTTGTTTCTTTGTTGCAGCCTGTGGAAAATAAGAATTAAATCAAGGATACACTTAACTGAAAAAAAAAAAAAAAACTTTAGTAATTTAACACATTAAAATAAACACATGAGGTTTAAGGGAAATCTTAAGCCACGAAAAAAGTTTCCCTCTTTCAACTTAACTTGAGATTAGCCTCTGCTTCATGAACATGAAGATCTTTACTTAAATCAAAATGCAGGGGTGAAAAGCAATTAATAAAAAGTGTCAAAATTTAATGTCACTCCTAACTACTGCTAATTATCATGGAAACCATTTTTTTCAATGTAAAATTATGTATCTAGATGAAGCTACAAAGAACTGAGCAATAGGTCATAGATGCTCAATAAATACAGATACCACCTTTTTTCATACAAAGTGGCAATACAGTATCAACACAGTAAATTCTAAGATGTGGGGGTTTATAAGTAACACAAAAATACTCAAAAGTAATCAGAAAACTAGTTAATTCAAACAAAATGTTTACATAAAAAAATCTAACTTGTATTCCTGGGTCAGCACATTTTATTGAGCATAAAAATGTACACTTTCAATATAACAGCAATCCAACAAACTGAGCAAAGTCTCCCCTACCATAGGCCATCATCAACTCCTATCCCGATAAAGAGCATGGATGCTAAGGTGTACCAAACCAGCTGACTGTCTCAAAGGAAATTGTTGTCATGAAGTTAATTCAAACGCAGAAAATCTGATTTAGATAGGAGCTGAAAGATTCCACCCAACGTGTACTTTTATTTCTTAAAAAACAAACGTAATGTGAATCTATAATTTACCTTTAGTCCTTGCCATGGCAGACTGGTTCTATTAAAATACATCAAAACATATCCTAATGATTCCATGTCATCTCGGCGACTGGAAAAGAGAATTTACTATGAGTAGAAAGGATTGTGGGGAAGTGTGTAAAGAAAGCCAGGCACACAATGTTCACCAAATGACGAGACTCTTCAGCTTCCAAGTGCCTTACACGGGAAAGTATTTCGTTCTCTGGGTGTTATTGGCATTTATATTTAAAGCCTGGAAAAATTCTGGTCTACAGAAAAGATCAAATAATACTTTAACCTAGGGAATCCAGCTATACTTATACTTTCTAGGGCAGGTATTCTCAAAATTTTTAAAATCTAGGAGCATAGATCACTTAGAATTTCCATAATTATTTTAAGAAGCAAGAAAATTATTGGAAGCATGAAAGAATGGGAAGCAGAGACTATGATAATCACAATTTTTACTTCAGGGTAGATAGTTTTCATGTACTTTCTAGATTATTAAGAATAGTAGAGTTACAGTAGAGGGCACAATGTACCAATTCCCCTCAGTTCACCTAGGGCTACTCCGCCTCCAGCCCCCATAAAATTAAAAAAAAAAAATCACCTAATGTATTCTTCAACAAACTATCACTCAAAAACATAAAAGACCCCAAATGAACATTCAGCTGCAAAAACAAACCATCATAATAAAATTGCATTTATGCTTCTAACTTTCCACCATGCAGTACCTTCTGCCCCAAGAGAGAACCTTCCACAAAGAAAACAAAACAAAAGGCCTCACTTAATTGGCTTCCTTGAGCTACTTAAAACAGCAGGGAAGGATTAATAGGCATCCTTCAAGTTCTTGGCCAAGAGACAACCTTACAGACACTGTAAGAAACAAATTCAAAATATTTCAGCTATGGGTAATGTAAGGAGGTTCCAGCTGCCCACTCACCTCTGCTCAATACCAAGGTGTGCATTGATGCTGGCATATCGGGCAGTGCCGGTGAGGTTTTTATCTTCTCTGTATGGTATGTGTTGCCGTGTCCTGTTATCTCTGTACTTTTTGGCCAAACCAAAATCAATAAGGAATAACTTCAAAAAAGAAATAAAGACACATTAGGCTTCTAACTTGGTCAATTAAAAGTCTTCTTATTCATTAATGTCAGCTATATTTATTCAAATAAACTAAAAGAAAGTATAGAAAACAGATAATGAACATATTTAACCCTCCAAAACAAGCATTTACAAGTCTTCATCAACACAAGTCCAAAACTGTATAGTTGAGTGGTTTGTCCTACCATTTGCACAATTTCTTTATACACTCAAGAACCTGTCTTTATAAAAGAAACAATGTGTACATTAGGTATGGAGTTTTGAAAAATGACAAATTTATCTCAAACTCTTCCCTCTTACAAAGGCTGCTTACTCTTCAGTGTGGCAACAGAATGATCAATTTATTTCATAAAACACCCCTGGCAGGGTGCTATTGCCAATTAAAATCAAGATTTGTTATTAATAAAAAATAAGAACTTCTTAAAGCATGCATGTGATCAGGTGGCTTATAGCTACCAATTTAAATGAACTAAAATGCTAACAAACTGGCACTTTAGAACTAATGCTTAGTGCTGTCTCATTTTTGATACTAGAAAAATATGAGTCAATTTTTCTAGGTAACTCAAGTTACTAAGATTAAAGCCTTTGGAAGAGAAAAGCATAAAATAAAAAAAGAATTTTTGATGGGGAAGGAAAAAACCTCTCCAAAGTAAACTCATATTTACCTACCTTCTAAGGCACAATAAACTTGAATTTTTTAGCCTGTATTATAAAAATCACTTATTATATTGTATTATAATCTACCAAAGCAAGTAGGCTATGTGGCCTTGTATCACATAGCTTTCTCTATTGTTCTTTTCTAGTTATGCCTTAATTTGGGGATTCTTTCCATTAGGCTGACACCTGGTCCTTCCTGTCAGTTTACACTCTAATGTGCTGGGGAACTTGATCATCTAGTCTGAAAGTTTATTAAAAATAAAAATGCAAAAACCCCAAACAATGTACACTGTAAACTTAAAAGTGTGGACCAAGTGGCTCTCAGGAGGAGGCACTGTAAGCTATTCCCAAGTCTACTTTGCATGGTAAAGCCGCTCAGGTTGGACATTACTTCCCCACAACAAGGAGCTACTGGTTTTCACTTCATCTACTATGAGAAAAATGACGATTTAATTTCCTAATGTTACTCATGAAAGCTCTAAATAGTAAAATTATACTCATTTCCCAAGAAATCACACCATGAAAGAAATGTTAATGTTAAAACATTAAAAGAAATACTAACAAAAGATCTCTTGATATGCAAACCACTCAGCACACAACCATTAGGATGAGTTAAATATACTTTTGTTAGGCAAAACAAAGTATGACTTAAGTTCTACAGATTCATATTGAAAGAAAACATGGGGGGATGAGGGGAGACACATAAAAAGGACAGCTAGCTTCATGGTAATTTTCTTTTTAATCCCTAAGCAATACATGGATTTTCAATGAACAATGATTATTAGCACAAAGGATTTCCTTTGACGAGTGTTTTCTTGAGATTACTTTCTGTAGTACTTTAATATGAACATGGTATCAGATAGAGGGAACGTTGATGTGATTAATATCTAAAAGTGCCTTTCAAGTCTAAACCTACATGGAGAAGCACCATATTGAGACTCAATAACAAGAAACTTTCTCACAACCTAAAGCCCAGCATTCTTTCCTTCCACAACTATAAGAGGAAAATCTAATTTATTCAGTACACAAAAATATGTAAGCATTTTCTTCCTAAACATTTCTTATCCTTAACATCCAAACTAAAAACAAAATAAACCAAACTTCATTTTTCTCCTCTTCTTAAAAAATCAGAAAACAAGTCAGCAAAAGAAATGCCACCCAAAAACACGGTATTCTAATTTTAAAAGGAAAAACTACTTGCAATAAATATAAAATCTCTTGGTAGCCCATTATTCCTAGCAGTATACTTCATTAGTAGCGCTCTGTGCGCTCTGATTTTAAAAACAAATATAAGCATGTAAAGGGAATCTTCTCGGGAAACTACATGCTGACGTCAAAAGCACAACCAAATGGTCACAAATACGTCAAGGCAGAACCAAGGAAGGGACAGTCCTAAGACAGTGTCTACAGGTGGGGACATGTAAAAGGAGGGACAAGTTACTTTGCTGGTCAAGTTGCTTAGGCCTTTACTTGTTATGTTCAAAGTAACATGTGCCCCTGGTTTGGAAGAACACAGCCTATTCTTCAAAGGCATGCAGAAATGAGCTAATACTGAATGAAATGGGACAATTTTCTTCAGAAAATTTTGTGGCAATTTTTGCCTACTGCCCACGGTGACATTTTTCCATCATGAAATAGTCACAAGGTCATTTTCCCTCACAACACACTAAATAGCATGTAAAGAATATGATGTAATCAACGTTATGAAAGCCATTAAATGACTGTTACAAAATATAAGGGAAATGTAAGTGAACTGTTAACTAATCATGAGGTACAAGAATTAATCTGCCTAACAAAGCATCTAATATTCCCCTCCCTATACCTTGGCCCCCTCCCCCACACCAGAATGAGTCATCATGTATTTCTTTTTCTACGAACAATTGAATTTCGAAACCGTTATTAGCGCAGAAGACACTCCCAGTACAATGCTGGCCAGTATAGAAAATAACCATGGTTATCTCGATGACACATGTATTTTCATAGCAAGTACAGCTCTTTTCTGCTAGTCATGCTACTACCTTCTCCTCAAAACCCATGTCCTTGTGGGAAATATTGAAAAATCTAAAGCATTCTATTTATACTTTCTTCAAAGTTTAATATTTAGGAATCTACTGAGAATATTTAATATATCTAGTCTGCCAAAAGCTACATTAACAGATTATAAATTAATTTAATAAGCATTAATGGAAATCTATGAGAGCTTCAATTATATTAAGGGTAAATTATTAAGAATGAAATGGCTTCTATAGTTTAAAAGCATACAGTGCCTTTACAGTAGACACTTGGCTGAACTTGAAAAAAATCATAGACTGAGATGAACCAATTTTAGAACCAGTTCTAAAATCGGATCTACAAGTTACCTGAGGTTCATTAGGGAAGGGGTGGGGGTTATATTATATAGCACTGATGTCCTGAATTTAGATCTATTTCATAAATTAAATTCTGCGATGCCAAATTAACATTTTAAAAAGTACACCTGTTTACTACTAAAGAATTTCAACATTAGACTTAACATACCATTTCCTTATGTAGAGGTTAAGAGATCGAAGCAAAATTCTAATTTCTTTTAGGTTTTCTCTTAAGTTTTACAAGTTTTAAACAAAAGCCACAAAGAGACATCTTATTAATGTTTTATGTTTGCCAAGTATGTCTGAATAATGCCAACGTAAGAGGTGCTTGAGCAAGATCTACATTCTCCAGAATTAAAACAAAACAAAAATAATCAAAACAAAACAATAAAAAAGAAAAGCACATGAATTTGGGGTTGAGGTTGGAATAGGAGACAGTTTCAGACCTGGTTTAATCCTGAGAAAGATGGGTCCTGAGAAGTACTAACAGTCATGCTTCTTTTCCTCTTCCCCACTGGAGATTCTAAACACTGAACAGACAATAGAGGGTGGCAGTGCATCAAACAGTATTGCTTACATTGCAACAATGGCCGGCGCAGACAGGCAACACCGAGGCATTAGAGAAAGAACAGGGTAGCCAAATGCCATCCTTCTTCCACCAAGCACTGTAGCTTCTCAATTTTCCAAATATAAGAATCACATGCTCAAGGAATATTTGAATCCTGGAGAATACTCAGGTTTTTAATGCCACTAGATTGTGTCACTGCCTAAAATAGGGATAGCAATGGTGACATTTGATGCTGTAAATTTTTAAATCATAAACGGGGAATTTAGATCTGCATTCTTTGCTGCCCTTCCCCCAAAAAAGATTGTACAGAGGGGGGGAAATCTTCAGTAAGGAAGAGGTAGAAGGCATTTAGTCCCCTTAAAATGTATTTTTGTAAGCATGCAGGGCTGATTACTGGTGCAGATGAGCAAATTCACGAAGATTGGAGTGGCCACTCCAAAACGTCAAATTCAGAACAATTTCCCAAATAACAATTTGACTTTAAAAATTGACCTTAAAAGCCCCCAAAGCTAGTTTTCTTCCCCATAAATAGAAAATTACTGGAACAAGTTGACTACAGAATCCAGTCTCATTCAACTGGCATCATAAAACTACAATACAGGAAACCAACTACATAATCAAAACACTAGTCAAAAGTGTTCAAGAGCAACAACATGTGGTTTCTGACCCAGGAAAGTACAAAGCAATGCTCTCCCACCCCAAGGATCTCTGGAACTAGCACAGGGAGGAGCACTTGCACGATCCTCTGTGATACCTGTAATGAGGACCCAGGCTGAAAAATTCTCACCACGAGGCAATCTGGATTTCCTACCACATTAAGCGATAAATATGCTGCTCTTCAAATAAAAACAAACAAACAAAAAAAAAAATGAGGGGAGGAGAAGGGTCGGAAGCAAAGCAGTATTATTTAGGCCACTGTTTAATTTTAAGGCAAAAACCATGTACTGCCATGTTAACCCCAAATACCTGGGCAGAACATGTATCACGGTCTTTGGGAGTAAGAAAATGGAAAGGTGAGACTGAGAAATGGCCAAGAAGACAGTTAGAACTGACAAAATTGCTCTTCCAAATTAAGAGCAGCAAACTTTTTAAAAATATATACATTTTTTTTTTTATTTAACTAAATCACCAGGTTTTACGAAATTAAGAACCTGGATACTTCAAAGTTAAAAAAAAGAAAATGACGTAATTTGGGATAAGTTATATGTAGAATTATTTAAATACTCTGCATTATCTGAAAGTCAGCTTTCAATAATAATTTCCTACTGCTTGGTCAGACCAACAGGAATGTCTCACACAGTAACTAGTCACATCGGTTCTACTGGTGACGGCTCCAAGTTGGCATTCATACAGGCAAACCAAGGTAAACATTTATAGCTAGAGAGACCTAAACAAACCAGACATGTCCTGAAGGGTTAGGAAGACAAATGGGAAGTCCTCCTCCCCAAAACAAAAGCCCCAAGTCGTCCTGAAGTGGAGAATTTCTATCAGATCATAATAACATGCTTAGTGCATTGCCAATGCTGCCTGTCTGCCCGAGCTCACATTCAATCGACAAATTAAGCAATTCACTCGATAAAACTAATCAATGAAGAAAAAAATTCAACACAATTAGTTTCTAACTACAATCATGCGTCACTAAGACCCAATCATCCCATAAATCCAACCTGTCTAAGACATCCCAGTGAACACTAGTCTTGTTGGATCACAAGTGTATTTTCCTTTCAGTGGGGGAGAGGAGAAAAGTGGAGAACCCACCCCAACTCGGCACCCAAGGAAGAAACTGTCAACTACTTTTGAAGCAAGCTCAAAAGTTATTCTTGTAAATACACAAATCCAAGGAATTCTCAAGATCAACCATGCTCAGTCAGCACATGTTAACGCCATGGTGACAGGTGGGTCAGTGGCTCCCACACCGGCACAAGCACCCCGATTACAGAAAACCCACACTTCAGAGCCAGAGGTTAAAATCTGACTTTTAGCATTCAAGGAGGAAAAGTATACAGGGACTTTCACTATTTGAGTGAAATCAAAAATAGATACAACTACTCAAAAAGTTAAATAACGTAGATGAGTGAGTACATTTCATGAAAGCAGGTGGAATTTTCTATTTCCATATAAAGGTAACTTTGGTTAAGCTGGAATTATTTCAAGTTACTAAGTTAACAGTAGTTAGCCAAGTCTCTTGCTAGCACTATCTTTTAAAGCAATTATCAAGAGCAAATTCAATTTATTACTTTTTTTTAAAGGACTGAAAGTTTAACCAAAGCTATTCTTGGAGATTCTATGTTCTTTCATGCAAAGAGCATTTGACTAACCTTATTACAGTGACGCCCAATACCCATTAGGAAGTTATCTGGTTTAATGTCTCTGTGTATAAAATTCTTTGTATGCACATATTCAATTCTACTGATCATCTGGAAAACATAAAGAGGGGAGGGATAATTGGTTAATGATAAAAAGCAACATATTATTTTTGAATGCAAATTTGCTTCAATTAACTTCATAAAAAAGACCACAAGCATACTTAGTAATCTTAAAGTACATAAAAATAGCACAAGGAAATATTCAATGGAAAACACAAGCACATTCTCTCCATTTTTATCTAGAACCATGAACAAACTAAGCAAAAGCTTTTATGTAGGATCCTTTGACTTTTAATGGTTTTAAACATGACCGATACTCTCATCAGAATTGGTATTTGCAATATTCAAATGACAAGTTATAAATTCAGAATTGTGTCACTTATTCATAAGATGGCTGTATTATCACTACCTAAACCCTAGACAATGTTTCAGGATAAACTGGGCTGAAATGCCCAGGTATTATCCAGACTTATTTCTTTACACACATTCCCACATACATGGTAGTTATTATTGTTTTGAACCAAAAAGTATGGTTCTATTAATTTCATTCTTGTTGGTTTCTAAAGTAAACATAGTCTAAACCAGGCGTCCCTCAAACTATAGCCACATGTAGCCCACCGAGGACATTTATCCGGCCCGCCGGGTGTTTTTGCCCCATTTTGTTTTTTACTTCAAAATAAGATATGTGCAGTGTGCACAGGAATTTGTTCAGTTTTTTTTTTTAAACTATAGTCCGGCCCTCCAATGGGTCTGAGGGACCGTGAACTGGCCTGCTGTTTAAAAAGTTTGAGGATCCCTGGCCTAAACATTCCTGTAAGTCTATAGCATGTTGTATAAGCTTATTCGTTTTATGTAACTGAGGATACATATGCAGGAGCTTCAAAAAGTTCTTAGGAAAGTCAATAGTCCGTGCATTGCCATTCAGAGCTCACCCATACATGTGCATTTTCCTTTTCTCATTAGTGTTTTAAATTCTATACCACTGGTGAAGCTAATGACACCTATCAATGTGTATCAATACTCACATCTGTATTCATTTTCCCATTAGAAAAGTTAATTCCATTTTTTCCCAAATTTCCTAATTTGACAGGTATACATGTTTGTTAGCTCGTTTGCACTTCTCTAACAGTTTCGGTACCTGGTTATTTTTGCTGTTCAAATGGATTTACAGTGTGTACTCTCTTATTCTAATGGTCTGTCCTTTCCTTTAAATCAGAGTGTTCTCTACATACAACTGAAAACCCCATCATTTTCTATTAATTTATTTTAATTGGCCTTGAACTATTTATAGGATCTACTGTAGTTTAAAAATCTCCAAATTATCAAATACCCACTCCATATCTAAAACTGTGTCATTATTTGGTAGCTATTGTACAACACTGCTAGAAATGAATGACCTATGGAATGCAGTGATGTCTAGCCTCAAAAATAAATAAATAAATAGATATAACACAGTGGTGTCAATAAATGCTATCCATATCCAGAGACTGTCTATGTTCTCTTTCTGGTCATAATTTCTTGCTTTTCCCAGCAGTGTGTGTTAGGGTTCTGTTTTTACTTTGTTCCCATTTCCCCCAGTGTCTATTACCATGGATATACGGATATTCCTCCACCATGGAAAATGTCTTTTAACAACAAGCCTGTCAGCTCTGATTTAATGCCATTCATTTATTTATTGTCTACTGTTAAACTCAAGTAGATGAATACAATGTGCAAATACCATATACACGTAGTTACAGCACAAACTTCTACTTTAAAAGAAGCAAAGCAAAACATTTTTGGCTTACTTAATGTATATATATTTGTCCCAGCTAAGTAATACCCATCAGTTGACTGTTGATTTGTTGATTATTATATCACCAGGAAACGGACAAGGAAAAAATAATGGCACAAATCACAAACAACTTCAAGTGTTGCCTATCATCAACAGAGCAAGATTGAATGAACGCTTCCTTGCCCCTCCCTTCCAACGTTACTAGTGTGCCTAACTCAGGAGTCTAGCCTGGACCTTTAATGCCGTGCTATTCCACCTTTCTCGACTGGCCTTAAGCTCCTAGAGAAGAGAGGCTGGCTCTCACTTGTTTTCACTCTCTCCTTTCGTCTCAAATAACTAATAATGTCACAGACCTCCAAATGCCCCAGTGTTACTGAGCTCACAGATCATAATCTAAAACTAAACTACTACTCACCAACGTGTTAATTAAAATAAATCTTTTCATGTGTGACTTCATAATGTTCCCCAGACAGATTAGTTTGCTGGTATTTGCTTAAAACACCTGGTAACTATTGTAGAATATCAGGTCCTGATTACAGAAAGTGGGCACTATTTTTAACTCTGTGCATTTACAGAGTCTACACGAATTCCTCAGCTGTTCCTTAGCACACTTCACTTCTACCACCCAATGTAAACATCAGACCTGCCATCTCCCCAGCCACAGCCTTCCTCTAGGCACTTTCAGTTTAAGGTGAAGCCTGTCCAACAATGTGCTGCCCTTAAAGGTAACAAAGCTTGGCCAAAACGTAAAGACATTTATTTCATACTTTAATGTGTTATTTCCCTCAAAGCTTCCCCTGGCTCCATCCCCACCACATTCATTAAAATGTTTGAGCTTCATTCTCATTTTCTGTATCAATTTTTTTCTCTAACTATGTCTTAAAATTTCCTAAATTTCACTTAAACATCAATGGTAGAATCCATTATTTCAAGCATCAAAATTCTTTAATTACTTCAATACCCTATTCAACAACATAGCTTTCATAATATTCATCTATAATATTCAATGCAAATAATACTCACCTGACGCATTTAAAAATTACTGTATCACTGACTGGCAACCAATCAATCAACTAATCAATATAATTCTAGTTTAGTCCTACACCCACAAATGCCTTTAAAAGACATTTGTCCTGGGAGAGGAATAACTGAAGTCATCTTAAAACATGAAAAGAGGAACTCACTGTCATAGAGACCCGATGTGACAAAGCTGAACTAGAGGGTTCTAACCTTTCAGTTATCAGTCAGCACTACTTACCTGCGCCATAGAGATCCTTAGAAGTCACCGCAGTACAGTATATCCCCAAGTGAAAAATGTGCATTCACACACATCCTTTAGTGTTATATAAACTCATTTTGAAACTAAGGAACCAACCCCTATTCACAAATTCGCCAGGAAAATCACCTTTGCTTACTGCACAGTGCAGCTTTGTAAATCATTGAAAAGGTCTTTTGTGTTTTCTTACGGTGAGGTAAGGCTAAGCAGAAGCCAAATGCAACCTTCTGACTTACCAACAAATTAAGACACTCTTAAGATCTATCTTGTTCATTACCTAGAGACCGTCAATACTACACCTGAATGATTACTCCCTAGGACACTACATCATTTTTGCTTTTAATTTGAGGGAGGGGCATTTATCTTCAGGATAAATAGTGGCACCGGACGATATTACTCTGGCTTTTTAGCACATAATTATAGGTTAGCCTAAGTTTCTCGTCTCATCAAAATATCACGTACCTGGTCAGCTAACATAAGTACAGTTTTCATTGTGAACCTTCTGGAACAAAAATTGAAGAGGTCTTCAAGGCTGGGTCCAAGAAGGTCCATAACTAGTACATTGTAGTCTTTTTCTTGACCATACCACCTAATAAAAAAGGGGGAAAGGAGAAAACAGGACATTAACAAAAGTTTATGATCATTTTAATCTCATCAAATTTTTAGAATTCTAAGGCTCTAGGAATAGTTTTACACCACTGGTTAGGTTTTAATGCAAAAATTTCCTCTATTCAGATTTACTGTTTAAATACATTATTATCCCATTGTCCTACAAAGACAGGATAAATACGGCAGCTTTATAATACTTATTTACCAGGATAGCTGGATTCTATTGCCATCACCTACTGATTCTACTGGTAATGTTGGGTAAATTCTTTAATCTAACCACCTAGACCTCCTCATCTAAAACAAAGGGACAACGTGTTACTATTGATTCTAAAACATTTCAGAACGTCCTCATCAACCACACAACCAACCTGTGCTTACTACTCACTAAGTGAGTGTTCTGCTGAGTGTATTTTGCAGAAGTGAAAAAGGATTCGCACGCCACAGAAAATAACCAGGTATTTCGTAAGAAGCCAAACCCAAATGAAGCTCCCTGCCTCTGAGTCAATGCTGATACCTAGACACCCTGTAGGACAGGATATGACCGCCCAGGGAGCTTCTGAAACTAACTCCTCAGGGCAGTAGAAAGCCCATGCAGCTAGCTGCTAGTGGTTTCAAACTGCCCTTCTTGAAGGTTGTAGCCCAACATGCATCCACTAAGCCACCAGGGCTCCTACCACTTAAAGCAAGTAATAGTCCTTTGATAAAAAAGTTTTATTTATTTTCTCTGGATTTTTTGTGGGGGCAGGAGGGCTTTTGTCAATTAATGTTACAAGATCCAATATTAAAAGCTAGCCCAAGAGTATGGTCTCCCTGTGTTTTCCACCAAGATTGGTTTATGGTTTTATGGCACATTAGATCCTTACTCTGTTGGTTTTGTGTGTGGTGTGAGGCAAGGATCCTGTTTCATTTTCTACATGTAGAAATCTAATTTTCCCAGCATCAGTATTGAAGACAAGACACCTTTTCCCCCGTCGAATGGATAAGTGTCTTATGGAAATCAGTTGGCATTGAGGATAGATGTGTTAAGTTTCTGGACTTTCCAATTCTGTTCCATTGCTCTATGTGTCTCTGTTTTATTAGAATTTGACTATTTTGATTACTGTACCTTTATAGTATGTTTTAAAATCAAGATAAAGTATTTTTCTATTTCTGTAAATAAGACTTAAAATTTTGTTTAGGATCATATTGAATACAAAGATCGGTTGTGAAATATTGACATCTTAGTATTAAATCTTTCCATCCAGGAACATAAAACATTTTTCCATTTAAGTCTTTTAATCTCTCAGTAGTATTTACAGTGTTCATTCTATAAATCCTTGATGTCCCTGGTTAGATTTATTTCTAGATATTTTATTCTGTTAGATGCGATTGTGAATGGAATTTGCCACCTAGTTACTTTTTCACAATTTCATTTCTATAATGTGTAGAAGTTCTTACTCTAAAACAGCCATTCTTATATAGGAATAGAGATCGTTTTACTTCTTTTCCAATTTGTGTACTTATCTTTCTCATTTCACTGCGCTGGCTAGCTGGCTAGGACTTCTACAATATTAACTGTAAGTGTTGAGAGTGGGCACTCTTGTTTTCTTCCTGATTCCAAGGGGAAAACTGTTAGTCTTTCTCAAAGTATAATATTGGCCTGTTGACAGTTCATATGTGCCCTGACTCATATTGAGGAAATTTCCTTCTATTTCAATCTTCTTTAGGGTCTTTCGCAAGAAAAGTTGTATTTTACCAAATACTTTTTCTCCATCCAGAGATGATCATGCGGTCCTTTTCTTTTATGCGTGGTATGGTGGGTGACTCTTTTAATAACCTGTTGGATTCGCTAGTATTTTGTTGAGGATTTTTGCAGCTCCGTTCATAAGAAATAGTACCCAGTAGTTATCTTTTTGTGATGTCATGTCTTTTTCTAGTTTGGTGTCAGGATTGAAATAAAAATGGTGCACATACAGAATCCAGTACACATCTAGAAATTTGAAATCATTTATTTATATCAGGAACTTCCCATTCTTAGTAACAAAATTAGCACTTATCCATTCGACAAGGGAAAAGGTATCTTGTTTTCAATACTGATGCTGGGAAAATTAGATTTCTACATGTAGAAAATGAAACAGGATCCTTGCCTCACACCACACACAAAAACAAATACAAATAGATTAAGGATCTATATGTGCCATGGAACCATAAAAAAATCTTAGTAGAAAACACAGGGAAACAATACTCTTGGGCCTAAGCTTTTAACATTGGATCATCCAATGTTAAATGACAAAAGCAAAAAAAAAAAAAAAAAACCAAACAGAAAATAAAACTTATTTATCAAATGACCTTAACACACTTCCACACACACCTATCCCCCAACCCACTCACATGACAAACGACCAGGTGGGAAAATTAGATTATGGAAACCTACATGCAAACAACAATCTAATAACCAAAATATATTAAAATGCCATCAAAAGGATAAACAAGTATCATAAAACAGGCAAAGATGACCAGGCATTTCACCAAAGAGCACCTTCAAATTGCCACCAAACACGAGAAGATGTTCGGTGAATTAGTCATCACAGGGATGCAAATTAGAACTCAATGAGACATCATTCTGTTCCAGCCCCACCCCTACCAGAGGATGGGGGATAGAATAATAAATGATAACAAGTTCGTGAAAAAATTCAAGCCCTTACCCACTGCTGGTGGGAATGCAAAATAGTATGGCCACTATGAAAAATAGTGTGACAATGCTTTAAAAACTAAGCATAGAAATATCACATGACCTAGGTATATACCAAAAGGCTTGAAAGCCGAGACGTGTACACCAGTGTTCATTCCCACATTATTCACAATAGCCAAAGGGCACAAGAAACCTAAATGTGCATTCAGATAAACATATAAACAAAACCTATTATATACTATATAATACTGTTCAACCAGCAGGAGAAACGAAATCATGATGGAAATGTTACAGGAAGGATGAAGGTTGAAGACATGCTGACTAAAATAAGTTAATCCTCAAAAGACCAAGTTTATACTTTTATATGTAATTAGAAATCAATATTTTTAGCAGTTACCAAGGAAGGAGGGCAAAGTGGGGAGAGTGTGGTGGGAAAATCACGTTAAGGATAGGGTTTTATCTCTGTAAGCAATTCTGACAAATACCCTTTAAGCTCAGTTACGAAGCAGAAAAATGAAGGCACAAATTCATGGCTCCTTATCTCTATGCAAAGAGCCCAGGGGAGCACTGTGGGTTAAGGGATGGGCCACTAACCAAGAGGTTGGTGTTTCAAACCCACCAGCTGCTCAGTGGGAGAAAGATGAAGCTGTCTTCTCCTGGAAAGATTTATAATCTTATGGAATGATATGATATCTGTATTAGCTCCCCAATATATGGTTTTGACAAAAAGCTTATAATCTTGAAAATTCTATTTAGTATCACTATGTATCAAAATAAGTTCAATGGAAGTGGGTTGGATTTGCTTTTAATCTCCATGTAGGTGCAGATGTTCTCATTTTCTAAAGAAATGACTGAAAACAAAGTAACCCTCTCAAAGAATATGCCTGTCTTTCCTCTATTTCTCTAATGTTCCGCTAGTTCAGTGGTTCTCAGCCTTCCTAATGCGACCACCCTTTAATAGTTCCTCATGTTTCAGTGACCCCCAAACATAACATTATTTTCACTGTCATTTCATAACTGTAATTTTGCTACTGTTATGAATCGGGCAACACCCGTGAAAGGACCATTCAACCCCCAAAAGGGTAGGACCCACAACTCTAGTTCTTTAATGCTTCCTCCTGCCACCCGCCTATCATGATCCAATTCTACCTTACAAATCCGGCTAGAACAAAAGATGTACACTGGTACAGAGAAGAGCTGGAAACAGGGAATCCAGGACAGATAAACCACTCAGGATCAATAATGAGAGTAGAGACACCAGGATGGTAAGTGAAAGGTGGGAGGAGAAAGAGGGAACAGATCACAATGATCTATCTACATATAACCTACCCCTCCCTGGGGGGCAGACAACAGAAGAAAAGTAGTTGAAGGGAGACATTGGTCAGTCTAAGACAAGGAAAAAAAAATTTAATAAATTATCAAGGGTTCGTGGGGGAGGGAGGAGAAAAAAATGAGGCACTGATACCAAAGGCTCAAGTAGAAAGAAAATATTTTGAAAATGATGTCAATAAATATACAAAAGTGCTTGACACAATGGATGGATGGAATGTGAAAAGAGTTGTACAACCCCCCAATAAAATGATTTTTAAAAAAAAAAGCCTGTATTAAATAGAACCAGGAACCGATTACAAGGAACTATATGTGACCTCCTCCCTGGGGAATGGACAACAGAAAAGTGGGTGAAGGGAGACATCAGACAGGGCAAGATATGACAAAATACCAATTTATAAACTATCAAGGGCTTATGAGGGAGTGGGGAGCGGGGAGGGAGGGGAAAAATGAGGATCTGATGCCGGGGGTTTAAGTGGAGAGGAAATGTTTTGAGAATGATGAGGGCAATGAATGTACAAATGCGCTTTACACGACTGATGTGTGTATGAATTGTGATAAGAGTTGTATGAGCCCCTAATAAAATGATTGAAAAAAACAAAAAACAAAATAAATAAATAGAACCAGTAGAATTGGATGGATTTAAAAAGGCTATTGGGCCTTTTCCTTTAGTGCATCATGCATTAGTGTGAGAACCTAAGTTAAGACCACCATTCTCAATTGTCACAAAAAAAAGGGCCTTCCATTAAAAACAGTAAGTATATGCACTTTTCAAAAGGCATTTTTGAAGCAACATGTAGTTCTAAATTAACCTAACAATAACTAGCAATCTAACAATTCTGGTAATCCAAACCCACTGCCACTGTGTCAATGCTGAAGACCCGATAAGGCAGAGTAAAAGTTCCATCAAGTTTTCAAGGCTGTGAATCTTCATGGGGAAAAACAACAAATGGCAATCAAGATAGTAGTTTTAATTGTGT